CTAACATCATGTTTAGTTTTAAATCCCGATTACCTTTAAGTGTGTTGATAATTTTCATTTCTAATTTTACAACCACGTTCAGTGTTTCATCCACACATACCAAAATATTTCTTACATTTTCTGATATTTAGTCTATGTCATATTTCAGTACTTCAAATGAATTTACACTGCTCACACTATTATTTTTTCATGTTTTAGAGACACTAACTATACTAATTTTACTATTTTTCCTGCACTAATTGCATCTATGTCAGCACTCATGATAAACTAGCAATTGTTTTGCATCACATGCATAAAGAAATTCTTAAAACCAACTTTTTCAATATCGTACTCAAATTACTGTTTTCCAGATGGGAATTACCAGTATTCTTTGGTTTTACTCTGTTACATCTTTTTAAATTTTAACATCTTACTTTTAATTCTAACATACATCTTTTAAACAGTTTTTTCTTTTAATGATAGCCTTACCTTATTTGTTCAAATTAATTCTTTCATTCACCTTCTTTACTACCTTTCAGTACCTTCATAATTCACTATGCAAACGCAATGTCTTTCACTGACATTCTGTTTAATAATACCACAAGTTTCCTTAATTGACAAAAAGCGAATTATTTCTCATTTCAAAATAGAACTACTATATTTTTGCACAAACATTACCTTTATCCATTCAAGCCACCCCTTAACCTGTAACTGACGTAGCGATAGGAAAGGAGATTCTTATCATATGCTCTTTCGACATTTGAGGTTTCTAGAACTTCTTTGGACAAGTATATCAATACCATCAGAAAATATACTTAACACTTTTACCCAGTTTAAAGGCAACATACTGTTATAAGAATGGTTTTAGTTAAATTTATAACACAAATAAACGCATTTTGTGCTAAATAGGCATAAACATTTAGATTCAGAATATTTCTTTTTAATCCGATGTAAGACTTGAATTTCATTCATGATACGGATTGTCTCTTGATTTTCTTTTTGTTTACCTTACACTAATAGAAAAATTTTTATTTTACAAGTTCAGCTTTTAATGAAATAGAAATAAAAACTACGATACACCTGCTGTTTTTAAGAAAAGGAACTTTGATATATTTCTGGAAATGTAAATGCTTTTAGAGTTTTCTTTCAATAACGTTGATTTTCATTACTTTACTAACTTCAATAATTCTCTTATTAGCTAATATGAATGAAAGAAGATTGTCAAAAATGTGACACAGTATAATTCTTACGAACATATGTACCTTTACCAGCATACAGATATTACCGATTGAAATGAAGAAAGATACAGATATTTTACTCCAATCTACATTAAATTAAAAAAAAAAATATTTAAACTTTCATACATTCCAAAGAATAAACGAAAACTCAATAGATATTGTCATGTTTGTATATATGAGATAAAAGTTTTATGAATGGTATCTAAAGTAATGCTTAGAACTTCATAAAAGCGAACATTCACTATGTTAATACACATATCATCAGTTATTTACATTAATCAATGTAATATTAATCATTACATGTACTATATGCATATATATTTAAAGTTTAATTGTCTTACAATTGAATAATTAACTATTGAGAGAAAGAGGTTCATATCTTACACTATTTAATTCACATGGAACAAATTTTTCCATCAACCACATTGAACCAAGTTTATTAAATTCGCCAAAGCTCTTTTATTTCTGCATTTTCACACTCACGACACATTTTAAATGTAACTATTGATTACCATTTCAAACACCGATATCATAACTCAGTGTAAAACTACATCATAACTCATTTTTTCCCTACTAACTACAATTTTATATATTCAAGAAGTACATCTAAGACATGATCATTTTCTATGTTCTAGCAAATCGATTCAATTGCGAACATACTATTAAGACTTGCGATTTTAGAAGACTTGCATGTATTAACGATGTCAACGTTTCTTCGTTTTTGTAAGATTCGTATCAAACCATGTCGCATTCGAATGTGGTGTAAGAGATCACTTTTTCTTTTAAACACTTGTAAACAATGGATGCAATTTATAAGAAGAGAAGTATCATGCTGTTTCAAAACATCATCATCAGCATATTTCTGTTTCTTTTGACACCAGCAAAATTTAAAAAAAAAAAAAAAAAAAGGTTCGTGAGATTTTCTTCAAATTCTGTTTTACTTGAAAAAAATGTCCGAACATTCAATACGATGTAAAGATTCATATTGTTTTAAATTCTTATGCTCACTAAATATTTTTTATCACGATTTACTCTTAAAAGTAACTTTATAAGTTTTCATATCCTTTTTACATGAAAAGAACTTGTGATTATTCACTACAAAATTCTAAGACGAGAAGCTTCGCGACTTTTCAAACTACAAATTTAAATTTCTTAGGACATACACTACATCTGATGTTTCTTTCATGAGATTTCAAATATCTCTTCAGATTACTCGTATTCAAGAAACCTTACAAATATATCACATAAGTTCAGCGAATAATCGCTTCATAAACTCTTAAATTTTCAACACGAGTGAATCACTTGAAGCATATACTGCACTGTAAACATACAATACTTAAAAAAATTGTTATAAAAAATAAAAATACATTCATTTCACCAAGAAGCTTTTCTATTTAAATACATTTATTTAATTTCCAAAGAACAAGTTTCTGTATTATACATAAAATATACTTAGAATTTTCTTTCATTAGTTAATATCAAATTAACAACAATATCCATTTACTGATATTTGATATACATGTTTGCTTTAAAATTAAAACTAAAATTTCAATATATTTCTATTAAAAAAAAAACCATAATGAAAAAAAAAATACTCATAACATCAACCAAAGACAGAAATTTAAATAGAATAGCTGTACTTATATTAGTGCATTTTTATAATCTTCATAACATTTCGATTCAAAAAACCTATTACAAAATAAATGAAACATTTTTTTCTGCCTTAAAGAATCTCTTATATTTTTAAAATTAATACATAAAAATATATCTTCACCAATATATTTAATTCTGTCCTCAACACTTATTATAATGCAATCATGTCTTGTTTGTGAAGGATGATTTACAATGCAACCTTCGCATTTATATAGCTTTTTTATCACTGAATTTAATTCAGTTTTGATAGAGTTTATGAGTTCTTTAAAAAGTTCATCATCATCACTTACCATATCCGAACAATTGTTTTTACATTTGATTTGCAACGGTAAAATAATTTCAAAAATACTTATTATTAAATATTAGATACATCAGGAATAATTTCTTTCAATTTTTTTAAAATATCACAGTTTACTTTTAGGTATGTAGGTTTTAGTTTAAAAGAATTTTCATCTTGTTTAAAAACTTGTTGAAAAAAATACACTCACCTTCTTTGTTGAAAACTACCAACTCATTATTGCAAATGATGCTGGCACTCGTATAGACAAGATTAAATTCATATATTTTTGAGGAAAATTCTTGCCATGTTGCAGGAGTTATAACAACACCGCGTGTAGTAGGGTATAATATTTTATTTTGTTCCACACATTCACGTAGATGAATGTTCATTCTGTTTTCAAACTGATTTATGGACACAAAATATCCCCAACCAAGAGTCCACTGTGCAATCAACTTCGAACTTTCTTTTTTCTGTTCTCGATTATTCGGCATGAAGATATTTTCAGGAACAGACTTCATATAGTGGGCAAACCAGTCATCCTCTGGAAGTTCATCCTCATTATCTTCCAAGCGTCGTTTTTTAATTTTCGAAATTTTTATGTTTCGGAATGTGATACTAATTCTAGGATCTTTAACGTCAGGTTGAGAGGGTATTCCGTGCATCCAAAATTGATTCGTTGGGTGTTCATTACAAGGAGAGTTCCATGAGTTAAGTCCACGCTTCGAGATGTGAAATTTGCCTGGTAAATACCATTTGACGTTTTGCACCTAAACTGATGATAGGTATATCACTTTCAGGTTCGAGACAAGTTTCATTGTCTTTATGCGTTGAAATTTTCGCCACTCCGTCAGGATAATAGTTCAATAAAGCAAAATTATATTTTTTGCCAGTTATCGTTTCAACATAATCTTTTACATTTAGAAGAGTTTGAGTCCATGGTTCTGCACAAATGCTCGTTCCAGAGAATTCGTAACTAAGTCCTTCATCACCAAAACCGAGTACTTTTCTTCGTGGAACATACTGAGTCCCATTAATTTCAAAACTAATATTTTTAAAATCATAATTTGATAGTTCATCTAGCAAAATATCAGCTTCATTTCGTGAATAAAATTCTTCGTATAATTCCACATTTAACTCTGTATCACATATATTCCTCATATTCGCTCTTGAATCTAACGACAATTCTGAATGATATAGAAATACGTAGCATTCTTAAATAGCAAAAATTATCTAAAACATACATTAACGAAATGATTTCATCAACACTTATCGTAATACATTCTTGTCATGTCTTGTTTGTGAAGCCAGTCTTTCCGGCGTCATATGTGTAAAAATAATCATGATAGGATAGTGGGAAAGAGTTATAGTGTCCTAATGTTGTTATTCTGAACCTCGATATTACATATATGCATAAGGAGAATCTTAAAAGCATCATCCACTTAACATGATAGAGTAATGGAAAATTTCTAAAACTCTGATAATCATACGCGAAAGAATGTATTATCTTAAGGTTGTTGTTGCTATTCCAAGTTTGACAATACATACAGAAGTGAAGGAAGACCCTTGATGAGTGCTGCACGTTATCATGATAACGTGAAGTCTACAGCGCTTATCGCAAGTCTTAATAGTATGTTCGCAATTGAATCGATTTGCTAGAACATAGAAAATGATCATGTCTTAGATGTACTTCTTGAATATATAAAATTGTAGTTAGTAGGGAAAAAATGAGTTATGATGTAGTTTTACACTGAGTTATGATATCGGTGTTTGAAATGGTAATCAATAGTTACATTTAAAATGTGTCGTGAGTGTGAAAATGCAGAAATAAAAGAGCTTTGGCGAATTTAATAAAACTTGGTTCAATGTGGTTGATGGAAAAATTTGTTCCATGTGAATTAAATAGTGTAAGATATGAACCTCTTTCTCTCAATAGTTAATTATTCAATTGTAAGACAATTAAACTTTAATATATATGCATATAGTACATGTAATGATTAATATTACATTGATTAATGTAAATAACTGATGATATGTGTATTAACATAGTGAATGTTCGCTTTTATGAAGTTCTAAGCATTACTTTAGATACCATTCATAAAACTTTTATCTCATATATACAAACATGACAATATTTATTGAGTTTTCGTTTATTCTTTGGAATGTATGAAAGTTTAAATATATTTTTTTTTTAATTTAATGTAGATTGGAGTAAACTATCTGTATCTTTCTTCATTTCAATCGGTAATATCTGTATGCTGGTAAAGGTACATATGTTCATAAGAATTATACTGTGTCACATTTTTGACAATCTTCTTTCATTCATATTAGCTAATAAGAGAATTATTGAAGTTAGTAAAGTAATGAAAGTCAACGTTATTGAAAGAAAACTCTAAAAGCATTTACATTTCTAGAAATATATCAAAGTTCCTTTTCTTAAAAACAGCAGGTGTATCGTAGTTTTTATTTCTATTTCATTAAAAGCTGAACTTGTAAAATAAAAATTTTCTATTAGTGTAAGGTAAACAAAAAGAAAATCAAGAGACAATCCGTATCATGAATGAAATTCAAGTCTTACATCGGATTATTAAAAAGAAATATTCTGAATCTAAATGTTTATGCCTATTTAGCACAAAATGCTTATTTATTGTGTTATAAATTTAACTAAAACCATTCTTATAACAGTATGTTGCCTTTTAAACTGGGTTAAAAAGTGTTAAGTATATTTTCTGATGGTATTGATATACTTGTCAAAGAAGTTCTAGAAACCTCAAATGTCGAAAGAGCATATGATAAGAGTCTCCTTTCCTATCGCTACGTCAGTTACAGGTTAAGGGGTGGCTTGAATGGATAAAGGTAATGTTTGTGCAAAAATATAGTAGTTCTATTTGAAATGAAATGAGAAATAATTCGCTTTTTGTCAATTAAGGAAACTTGTGGTATTATTAAACAGAATGTCAGTGAAAGACATTGTGTTTGCATAGAGAATTATGAAGGTACTGAAAGGTAGTAAAGAAGGTGAATGAAAGAATTAATTTGAACAAATAAAGGTAAGGCTATCATTAAAAGAAAAAAAAACTGTTTAAAAGATGTATGTTAGAATTAAGAGTAAGATGTTAAAATTTAAAAAGATGTAACAGAGTAAAACAAAGAATACTGGTAATTCGTATCTGGAAAACAGTAATTTGAGTACGATATTGTAAAAGTTGGTTTTTTTTTAAGAATTTCTTTATGCATGTGATGCAAAACAATTGCTAGTTTATCATGAGTGCTGACACAGATGCAATTAGTGCAGGAAAAAAATAGTAAAAATTAGTATAGTTAGTGTCTCTAAAACATGAAAAAATAATAGTGTGAGCAGTGTAAATTCATTTGAAGTACTGAAATATGACATAGACTAAATATCAGAAAATGTAAGAAATATTTTGGTATGTGTGGATGAAACACTGAACGTGGTTGTAAAATTAGAAATGAAAATTATCAACACACTTAAAGGTAATCGGGATTTTAAAACTAAACATGATGTTAGAAACTTTGAAGACCATAAAACTATATGAGAAAGAAATACATTTAGATATAAATGGTTATTAAACTGTAAAGTTGTGAATGGAAATTTCTGAGTAAAACCTGTAGATGATCCATTATGATCGGAGAATAAAACAAGTATTATAAAAATTGTAAGGAAATATTTGAATATGGAGTAAATGAAAACAATCCATATCGTTAAAATGGAATAAAAAGGGATAAAATGAGTTGGAATTACGAGTGATGAGACGGAAATAAAAACATTATAATAAATAAGTTAAACTATAATTAAGAAATATAAACACAGAAGGGAAATCATGAACGTAAGAAAAGCAATTAAAAGTTATAGACTTAAGTTTAAAAAAAAAAAAAAAAAAAAAAAAAATTATTCGGTAATGTAAGGAAGATATTGGTGAACATGTGAAAGAAATTAGATATTCTGTAGAAAATTTAGTAAAAGAACTAAGATCACGAAAAATAAACGTTTCTTTTTAAATAGAATTTCAAACCACTAATTTAAAGTGTGTATAGAATATTAGAATGGTTTAAAAAAAGTAAATGAAGTTAAAATTCAGAAAATATTGAACATTATAACGTTAAAAAAAGTGTGAAATTGCATCTAAAATTAAGTAGTGTAACAAATAAACAGCATGTGCGGGAACGTTTGTGAAATATAACATATAAGTTAAAAATCAGGGTATGCTGAAATTTATGAAAGGTATGAAAAAAAATAGTATGTGGAAATTAAATAAAATATTACAAATTAGAAACGTTAAGTATTAAAAAAAATATGACAGTAAATGAATATGTTATTATGAACAGAAAAACCTGAAAAATAAGTTAAAGTTTCATTGGAAAACTAGAAAGGATAAAAGCATCAGAATAAAATTGAGTAATAAAAAAAAAAATTATCTTGTGACAGTGAACTTCATTAAAGGAAAGTCTTTTTTATATTTGTTTCTTTTACATTGTTTTCAGAGTCGCGCATTGAATAATTTTAACACCAGACGTAAAAATATATTTCTAAAACATATCATTCACTTTTTCATTAATAGAGGGCAGCATCGCCATTTCATCAAAATTAAGATGCAGAAAATATTTCCCGTTGCCAATTTAAAAAAACTAACTTTAAATGAAAAGCAGAAGGTCTACAACTCAACCAGCAGTCTACCAACAACTCAACCCCACTCGTGACCACGCCTCCTAGTGTGATGACGTTGCCTTTGGCCCCGCCCTCTGTGATGTCATTGACCACGCCCCCTGACCCACTGACCCACCTGTCGCAGAACTGTCATTTTCATGCTACTAATGAGTGTATTAACTTTTCGAAAAGTGTTAATAAAAGTTAATCGTATCAGTATCTTCAAATCTATGAATAAGATTTATATCATGTAATAGATTAAATAGCTCAGTTTACAGACTTTTTTTTTGTGAATTATTGACGTTCGTTTTTAATGGTATTGAAAATAATGCTAGCTTGAATTTCAAATAATTCTTGGAAACTTTTCAACACCGTATTTGCAACGAGTACATAATTGAAATGCATTCGCTGGCTATATAAAATTGCTTGAAGGGTCGCATGGGTCCAGTGGGCCACCTGTTTGAGAACACTGTTCTGTAGTGGATGGTCAAACCACCCGGTTAATATCCTCATTAATATCCTTCTTTCTAGGAAATTATCTGTTAGATTAGCCCTGCGTAGACAACATTTTTCTTCCTTAAAAATGAACTTAGGACCAACTGCATCCCCGTAAAGACCAATACAAGGCTCTAACATGCTGTCTGTTTGCATCTCACACACTTTTGCGCACAAGACAGCCCGTTTATCATGGCACAGAGAGCATCGATTTTAGATCAAACATAGTGGAAGGGGCAGCTCTTTTCGCAAATAGGCCTGATTGAACTTATCTGTGAAGTTATTCGCTTATTTTCGATGTATGTGTATCCGCAGAGAACAAGGAATCTGCTTCCCATGCTCCAACATTTGAGAAAGGAGTCAATATATCAGTGAAGGTTTGATAGTCTAGACAGGCATCACGTTGGACAGGGCGACAAAAATATAGAAAATACGATGGCTTTGCTCTACGCGAACAGGCGACCTCTAATTAACTTTCCACAATTTCAGGATCTTCTCCATAGACCAGTACTTTCGAGAACATTCTGGCATGTTATGTAATCGCTACTACAAATGAAGAGTTTGCGCTTCCATCAGATTGCTTTTCTCCTCCTGCCGCTTAAGACCTTTTTGCTGTTGCTCTGTCCCTTTGTTAGAATAATTATGACGTCGAAAACTTAACATTAACCTTTTTAATTTAAATAGTTATTGGATATGTAGTTTTGGAGAATCTAAAAGAATAATGATCTGCTGTTTTAAGTGAATAAAGATATGGAGTTTGAAAAAATGAAATCTTTCGGTGTCATCATTTCTGCTGTAAGCCACTCAGCCATGTCCGTATTTTGATGCGAAGCGTCATTGATGTGCCCGACTGCCACAATATTACATATATATATATATATATGTGTGTGTATAAAAACATGGGAAATAATAGATAAACCTTTTGATAAAAACATCGCAGATAGTAAATGGTTTTTAAAATTAAATGTAATTTTGAAGAGCTATTCTAAATTTGAGAGAATAGAATATAATGAAACATTTGCACCAATTGCCCGTTATGAAACGCTAAGAGTTTGATTAGCTTATGCAGCTATATATGATAGTAAAATTAATCAGATGGATGTTGTAATGGCTTTTGTAGAGGGAACTGTAGATGAATACATTTATATGAAAACATCAGGTGGTTTTAGTGAATTTTATAAGCAAAACTTAGAAGGAAAGGTCATAAAATTAAATAAAACATCATATAGTTTAAAGCAGGGTGACAGACCATGGTACCAACTGCTAGAAAAAAGCTTGGCAGAATTGGGACTGAGGCAAAGTTCTTTTAATAATTGTGTCTATATTAAAATAATGAAAATAACAAACTAGTTATTTTCACTGTTTATATTCATGACTTACTTATTTTTAGCAGTAACACAGAACTTAAAAATTGGGTAAAACAGCAACTTAAAAATGTGATATATATGATTTGGGACCAGAAAATTATCGCATAGGAATTAAAATTGAGTAAGATAAGACTATGTCAGACTCAGTAAATAGATAGTATGCTTAACAAATATTATATGTATGAGTCTCATGGTGTAAAAACGTCACTAGACTGAAATCAAGTGTTATCTAAACTTCAGTTACCAATTAGTAAGGAACAAAAACTACTGGTTCCTTATCAGGCTGCCAATGGAAGTCTTCTTTACGAAGCTCAAGCAATACGGCCAGATATAACTTTTTTGTATTTGATTTTTTTTTTCAATTTTTTTTAATTTGATTAATTAGCTGTCTAATAATCCTGCAAAGATTCACTGGAATGCTGTCAAACGCATCATGCAATACCTTTGAGCTTCTACAGATGCTACATTGTGCTTTTCAAAGGACTATAATGTCAATGTCCTTGGTTATAACAACTCAAACTATGGAGGTGATGTTGGGGATTAGAAATTAACCACTGGTTATGCTTCCCTCATCAGAGGTGGTGCAATATAATGGTGTAGTAAGAGACAACCAACTATTTCAGCTAGTAAACAGAAGCTGAATATATGGCTCTTTCTGCAGCTACTAAAGAAACCACATGGCTCAATAAAATTGTTGCATAACTTGGACTTATAGCGCGTATCATAGTAGGTCGAAACACATCAATATACAACCATTTTGTGCGAAAAGCTGTGAAACTTGAAGTTCTGACATATAAAATACGACAACTAATGACATGATATCAGATTTTTTTGGCAAAAATTGTGAATAGTGCAAAAAAGGAAATGTGTGCAAGGATGATGGATTTAATATTAAAACTAATGTGATTTAATTTTTTTATGTGTGTGTATTAATTTAACTTTTATTATATTTAATCAGGATTATACTTGATAGTTAAGCCTGAAATGGGAGTAAAAATGGTGAATGTTAGCTTTAAATACGTTTTTAGCCCATAAATGGCATAACTGATATATACTTTTGTAACTATTTGTACATTTGAACATATCTAATAAAACTTCACTTCTGCGCCAAATTTCCATCAGGTATGTTATGTCTAGATTTATTCTTATGCATGCTGAAGTAATTTATCTCTGCTATAGCGAGTTTGCTTATAAAAATTCATCAGTGATTAGATAAGAAAAACATTAAAATTTCCAAAAACAGTTGTGAAACTTGTACATTAGGAAAAATGAAAAGCAATTCAAACAATCTGAAGATATTTCAACGACATACAGATTTACTTGGACCGGTTGAAAAGGCAATAGATGGAGGTTATTTTTCGAACAGTGGCAGATGATTACAATAACTTCATGTTTGTCACTACAATTGAAAACAGGAGTAAAACTGCAAAGAATCATTAATAAAGTTTTTCATTCAAGAAGGAAAGAGGGAAAAAAACTAAATTGGTAACTTGCATTGATAATATCAGTACGGAGGAAGCTAGATAAAAGGATTTTTTTGAAAAACTGGGAATCAAAAGTAAATTTACACTAGCAATATAAAAGATGAGTGCTTTAATAGCACTATCACTGAGACTGCTAGAACTGTGCTCATTGATGAAAAATTAATAATAACATTTTGGAGCAAAAGCGTTAAACTAGCTGTTTATGTGAATAACAGAAGTCATATAAAGGATAAAAAATGAACACTTTATGAAATATACAGAGGACATAAACCAAAAATTACTTTATTTGAAAATTTTGGATATCAAGCAAATGTTCACATAAGATGAGAAAAATGTGGAAAGATGGATCTAAAAGCACAAAACTAAATCAAGGTGGGATAAAGCATGAAAAGAAAAGCATACGAAATTTACATTGCTGAACTAAATAAAATTTAGGAAGTAAAAGCTGTAAAATTTAAAAGGCAGAAACTCAGATCAGCTTTACTGAAGAGAAATAAAATGAAGGTCAATAAAAATCAAACATTAGAAGAATTATTATTTTCTACAAGGAATAAACTAATGTGAGATTGAAGAAAAACCAGGAATAATGATCAGATATAAAAAATATAACTTTTTAAATATAATGTTGTAAGAGATAAGAAATCTGAGAAAATTTGACCAACAAAGCCAGATATTAAAACTGACAAAAACAGTTTGTTGTTAAGTACTTGAAGAACTAGGAAAAATATTCATAAAAAATCTGCAAAGAAAATACAGTGAGAGCCAAAATCCTATGATGAATAACCTATGATCAAAGCATTACCTATGATGAAAATGATAGGTATACGATTAATATGATGAAAATGTTAAATCTGCTGAAACGTAGTTTAGCTGCATACAGTGATAGATTAATTTAGTGGCGGCTAATGGAATTTGGGATTTGGTTAAATGGCCCATGAATAAAAAGATTATTAAAAGCCACTAAATATTCACTATAAGAGGGAAAAAATAATTTAGAAACATTTTGCAAAGCAAGATTAGCAACAGTATTTAACCAAAGAATGAATAAATTATGAGATTGGATTTAGTTCAGTAATGAGTCTTGGAACCTTTAGAACACTATTATCAATCACAGTTTACAAAAACTACAAAATAAGACTATTTGATGTGAAACTGAATGTTTCAATGATTATTAGGTAAACCAAATTATATAGAACAACAACTTGATTTTTATTTCAGATCCTAACAAATTATATCTTATTATTAGAAATATATATTGTCACCACAATCAGAAAAAATTCGTATAAAGACTTTTAAAAAAAATTAAATAACAAAAGTCAATATATTTATATATACAAAAAAAGTCCACATAACTTATTATAGCAGTGTATGTAGATATGAACTTAATGATTACTGGAAGTCCAAATTCTGAAACAGATGATTTCATCAGTCAACTTTCTAAACGATTTCACTAAAACACATAATTTTGGGGAACCGACATCAGACAAGAATCTGGAAAACTTAATCAAATTCAAGAATGCTATATAGAAAAAAAATTGTAAATTTTTTAAATGAATGAATGTAAACTTGTTAAGACTCCAAGAATATTCGATGAAAATCTTGATGACATAGCATCTTCTTCACCACCATCAAAAACAAAATGTCAAGAAGTACTGAGTCTGCTAATGCACTTAGCAATAGGTGCAAAGCTTAACTTTCTCTGTTTGTAATTTGATACAGTGTTAAAAAATGTCATAAAAGTACACTGGAAAGCAGTGAAGAAGCTATAAAATTTAGATAATGAAAAATTAAATGCTATTTTAGATGCAAGCTGGTGTACCACTGAAGATTCAAAACCATTTGGAGGTTATCTTATTTAATTAGGTAAAAATTTCATAAATTGGAAATGCAATAAACAAAGAATAGTTGCTTTGTCTGTAATGGAAGCTGAACTTCTAGCATTCTGCGAATGTACATGTGAAAATGGTGCCTCAGTTTACTTGATGAATTAAGACAATATAATCTAATTGATAAGCCAACAGAAATTAAAACTGACCATCAAGCATTAATAGACTGGAATAAGAAAAACCAAAACAAAGTAGCAACTCCAGGTATTTTACTGAAAATTCTTTTCTTTTTTATGATGACTATTAATTGTAGTTGATTACCCACAGTATATTCTCAAAATTAAGAAGCAGATATTTTAATTAAGTATCTACCTGATGTAAAAACTGAAAGGTGATTTTTTAAAATAGACATAACTGACAGATTAAAATAAAGTTTTTTAACACAAATAAGGAGGGACTGGTGGTATTTGTTTTCATAAGGCTAATTTGATTTTCAGCATTTTGCAACACTGATCCTATTTACTTATGAAAGTTTAATTCTGTTCTGATTTAAGAGGCTCTGGTTGCTGTGAATGTTCTTTAATATAAAGATTCTTTACAAATTTCTTTTAAGTGTTTACTTTAGAAATATAAACCTTTAGAAAACATCTAAGTTTGAAAAGTTTTTAAGTAATCATATTTAATAACTGATTCTGTCAATGAGTTTACAAGTAAATTTATTGAAATGTAAAGAAACCAGTTAGCTCTCATTGAAATGACCTAAAAATAATTTTAATGCATTTTTACACTACCACTTTAACTATTTGAATAATGAGAATTCTTTGAAAGTAAACATTTAAACATGATGATAAACTTGCTATGATTTAAACTTTCATTGCTAAATAATTTCAAAATTTTACTGTAGGAAAAAAAATGAAAACAAATTCTCCACAAAACAAAATAAGGTAAATGATTCGTATTTATTTAAATGAAGAGATCAATATTACTCTTATTTCATACATTATGACATGATATATGCAAGGGCTTTTCTCCTAACTACAGATATAAAATACTATTTTATATTTTAAATTATAAAGGTAAATCTGTAAATGTACTTTATCTCCCTGCATATGCATGCCTTAAAAAAAAAAAAAAAAAAAAAAAAAAAAGACATGCTTATAATACAGAGTGCTTCTTTGAAAACACCTTAAGATACATAGCTGTGTATAATAATTAACTTTCCTATACTCACCAAAAATGAACAGAAAAATATGAAGCTCACAAAGTATGCATATGCTAAATTGCTTCCACACTCACATTGAGTATTTTTCCTTGCACGTTCATCACAAGCTACTCCTTTAATACAAGAAAGCATAATCGCCTGCCATGCTTCACCAGTAGCACACCTAATGATGATAATGTTTTTATTAAATATGCATAAAACACAACATGAAGGAAACTGAGGGCAGACATGGTTTTTCAAATGCAAAGAAATTTATGTAGATTGTCTGAAACATACACTAATTTATCTCAATATTCTCTGGTTTTTAAATAGACAGTAAATACAAAGCATGCAGATTTTGCCACCTTTACTGTAAATAAATATTAAGTATATCATGATGATCTTTAAAATTTAAAAAGTAATAATTGTTACAAGGAGAAAAAACACAAATTAAGCATCCAAGTTAAATATAATACCATATCTGCACTCAGTTAAAGGTATATTACATGCTGTACAATGATTGCATGCATCTTGCTAAATATCACATGCTCACATGCACTATCAAAAAAGAAATGTCTATGCAACATGCTTCTTAGTATGCATGTAAAACAAATGGGTCAGCGCTTGCCGTTATAAGAGGAAAAAGGGCCTTTTTAAAGTTTTCCCCTGATTTTGATCACTTAGTTACATAGTAATAGCTTCAACAGAATTAAATAAGAATTCAAAAGGCTTACCAATAACCAACACAATGTTATAAAACAGCCTTAAAGTTTATATTTTTAGTTTAAAAAATAAACGAAATAGAAAGACCATATGAATGTTATACATAAATGACATAAATAATAATGATTTTACATAAATGATAAAGAGAATCATATAAGAAATTAAGAGGCTCACGTAATCAATTCACTAAACCATAATGAAAGCACGAATTATGACATGATATTAACAGTTTATTATAAATTATGCATATAAAAGATATATTGGCAATGAAGTTTAATTTTTTCATAAAATATTTGAATGATTAACCACTAAATCTACAGTTCTAACGTACTGTTTCGATGCAATTGGTTACTTTCTTACTTTTCATGGTATTTAAATTTTAAAAGCAAGAATCTCCTTTGGGATACTTAAGAATACTATAATTTAAATTCCTGAAGAAATCTCTGTCTCATATCTTCAGAATAAGCATAGCAACTCTTTCAGTACTGCATAATTTGAATTTTTTAAAATTTTTTTTATTTATTTCACTTGAAAATTACTCAGCCTTACTTAGTTTCTATGAAATAATAATGAAATTTACGAAAAAGTAGTTCAACATAATAAATAATAATAACATTTAATGTAATTTACCTGTAGTACTAGAAAACAGCTCTAGATAATATAAATTAAATTTTTCTACCAACAAAGGCCCATTCACAGGAACAAAATTCCAATGCACTTAATGAAGGTACTTTTTAATTTTAAATACTTTCAAATTCACTACAAAAATTAAAAAGTACCGTATCTGCCGGCGTATAAGACGCATCCTCTTTTTTATACACATTTTTGAAGGGTAGATACGAAGTAATAAGAGATACAAAGTAATACTTTCTGCAAATACCCAATCTATCTCGGAAAGAACACCTTTTAATTTTTTTCGTCAAATCCAGACACTCATCTCCAGAGCTAAGTGAAATGTCACTTGAAACCTCTTCTAAATCAGCATCTGAGTCCTCAGACAACAAAGTGTCCTCTTTACCATCCAATGCAATACTAATGCCACACTCCTTAAAACATTTAACCACTGTCTCTGTTTTACAGCATCCCATGAAACTTTGACCCATTCACAAAATTGCGAAATGCTAACTCCGAATAAACTGAGCATCGGAATGTAAGACGCAACCCGTTTTTCAGACCTATTTTCAAAGAAAAAAAGTGCGTCTTATACGCCGACAAATACGGTATTTTATGTGAAACTAAAACATAATAAATTTGATTATGAAAGTCATAACCAAGAAGCATTTGGGGAAGGTTTTCAGATTACACTTTCAAAATGTTCTTCAAAACCTAAAAATATTCCATCGTTTTTGTTACAGAATTTTAATGATTACACATTTTTTAATTGCATGAAATACATAAATAGAAAAAAAATGAGGGTAATTCTACATTTTACTGCTCAGATATGTTGATAATTTAATTTGTAACACACTAAACGCATTATTTTGTTTTTTCAGTACAATAAATACAAAACATCTAGCTTGATAAAGTAATTTTTTCTTACACAATAATAAGTATATAGTCCTATTTCAAGAGTATATTAATGAAGTTCACTTAAATAAGAATATGTAGCAAAATAATATTGAAAACTGACTTCAGTAACTTTGTATGCTCCAGTTTTGAGAACAACCATACTGCTTAATAGCATTAAAAATATTTTAGTGGCAATACTAAAACAATACATTAACAAAATTGCATTTTCATTACATAAAATTAGAAAACACATATAAGTAAAACGACCAAAAATATGATAAATCAAATAAGCAACAAACACAAAAAATACCACAAACATACAAAATAGTTTTCAATTTTTTGAGAGTGCAATATACATGTGAAAGATTTAGCAGAATAACTGAATGCTTAATTTAGCATGATTAAATATAGCTCCTTCACATTCAATAAAGTTAAAGGTATATTACATGCTGTACCTTGAGGTGTATATTGTTTTTAAATAAGCTTAATTATTTTTCTATAAACTCAATATCATAATAAATTTTTTTCAAAGCTGTTTAGCTTAGAACTGTTTCTCTCATTAAACTGGAATCAGCATACAAAGATAATAATGCAGTTTTTTTTTTTTTAATTTTATGATATTTGTATTTTTAAGTGTTTTACAACTTTTTTAAGCTTTCATGGTAAATATTTTGAAGTGTTAGACTCTAATCTGAAATTTCAGATGGCAGCATTTTTTTTAAATATAAAATCATTGAGAGATAGGATGCTTTAAAAAATTAAAATTTAATCAAATGCTATATTTTTAGAGGCTTTCAATTGTACACTTTTGCAAAAATAAGATAAAACTTATAAATATATATTGTGGTTTCACATTCAGATAACATATTTTTTAGATTCACCAAAAAAACTAAGCTACTTTTAAAATCAGTTTACATGCATTACAAAATAGGCATTAATAAAATTGTCTTCCTAAATAGCATTAAAGGGCAATTCAATATTCATTATTTCATTATAATAATAATAAAAAAATTCCCATTATTTTGGATGGAAACGTTGATACATAACTGTTAGCCAAAAAGTAAACTTCAGATTGAAAAAAAAGTTAATATTCATGCTTTTGAGAAAGACTGATTGCTAATGAGAATGATCAAAAATTGTTTTGGTAGAACATAAATTGCAACTAATAATGGTAGATTCCAGATAAAAGACACTAACCTTAGATTTAGAAAAACTGCGTGTACTGTTTAAAAAATGAAATCTGTATACCGAATTAGAATTTAATACAGTAGAGTCCTGCAAACTCGACATAATGTGGACTGAGAGACTGCAGAGTTTCCGAAAAGTCGAGTTTTACGGAATAAGGGGTGGGTTTTTCAGAACTTTTAATATTTAACTGTAAATTACTCTACACATTTGTAGCATAATATTGGACATCGAAAAGTACAGCATACAATTAAATTAACTCTGATTTTTTTTTATATCAAATTCTAGCATGACAGGAGTCATAAAAAGAACAAACACCTTAAGATAGTTGAGTTAAAAAACTTACATACAAAAATGAAGAAAATTATAATTAGCTCTTGGTAGAAAAATATCATGTGATGGCAGATTGTCTTTTACACTCATTCCGTCGTCGTGCAGCTTTATTCCGTAGGCGACGGAGGAACAAACCGTTCATACCAGATGCACCTTGCTCCTCCATGTAATGGAGCATTCCTTCAGTCCTTCACTATGGGTCATCATTTTAGCTTTTCCATTGTCTTCAATCTCTTCGTTTTCTGATTCATCTTCATTTTTATCCACATTGCCTTTCACCAATGGAACTATTTACGCATGTCCTAAAATTTTACAATTTTCATCTTGTCCCATCCATTTTTCAACATCATCCGCACAAACATTTTCGCAGTCTGGAATTTTCTTAAGTAAGTCAACTATTTCACAATTTTCTCTCTTCTCTGCTTTCGTGAAATTCGTTTCCTGAGTGGTTCAGCAACTTTCTCCGGAACGAACGAGGTTTAGCTTTTTGATTTCACTCCAAAAATGAGCTATCCATCCAACAACATCCAACATATCTATTTTCTTCAGTTTCTCGATCATATCATACCCTTCCTCCATGGCTAAGACAAGAGACGAAAGAAGTTTACGTCTGTACTTTTTCCTTCAATGCCCCCAAAACGCCCTGGTCCATCGGTTGACACCATGGACCTTATAAGAAATAGACTAACCCAAATAGGTTTTCTCCCTCGCCTGAGGCGTTTTCGGCTGTCACCTTGATCACATCCGAAGGAGTAGGGACGACTTGCAGAAATTTAACAGTGATTGCCTATTGCAGCGTGTATAATTGTCAAGAAAAAGCTGGTTGTAGCGCTCATTTCACAAATTAGAATTTCTCCATATTTTTATTTTTGAAATTGAGATTGCTTTTAAAAAATTTAGCATATTTATCAAGCATAATTAACGTTTCAAATAATTATAAAGCTATTGCATGCTTTCAGGGCTGGATAGTTTTTTAGCTTTTCCTATGCTGTAAGGAAATTTGTAACTACTTCTTTTAAAATAATACATATTTAAATCTGAACTAATAATAGAAAATTTCAAATAAGCAATTTTCTCTGCAATTTATCTGCTTTTTTTGGTGTAAATAAGTAAAAATATTAAAATATTTAAAAACGAATTTTTGAAAGTTTTTTTAAATTCTAAATTGCACTGCTTTTTTAAAATTATAGATGAATATTATAGCACAATTTCTATAAAGGAATTTTATTTCAATTATATTTCATAATACATCATAGTGATAAACACTTTTGACTCCTTAATAATTTTTATACATTTAATTCTAATATTAAAATTGTATTTAACCGTAATAATTAATTTTGCTTGTATTTTATAGTGATTATTTTTTAATTTATTTTTAGTTCTGCATAAGATTTTTTTTTATTTACTGTTAATTTAATTTATTAGCCCAAAGGG